ATCACTTAATGTTACACGTGGTGACTCACGCCTGTAATCCCAGCATTTGGGAGGCCGAGGCGGGTGGATCACCTGAAGTCAGGAGTTCAAGACCAGCCTTACCAACATGGTGAAACCCCATCTCTACTAAAAATGCAAAAATTTATAGCCAGATGTGTTGGCATACACGTGTAGTTTCAGCTACTTGGGATGTTGAGGCATGAGAATTGCTTCAATCCAGGAGACAGAGGTTGCAGTGAGTCGAGACTGAGCTAATGCACTCTGGCCTGGATAACAGAATGGAACTTGTCTCAAAAAAAAAAAAAAGGAAAAAAGTAAGATGTAAAATTACATGTATGTTTGTGTTTGTGTTATGATCCCAATTCTTCAAAAAGGCATGCACACAATGAACTACTACTTCAAACCCATTAGGATGGCTATTAAAAAACAGAAAACACAAGCGTTGGCATAGATGTGGAGAAACTGAAACTCTTGTGGATTCCTGGTGGGAATGTAAAATGGTGCAGCTGCTGTGGAAAACAGTGTAGTGGTTCCTCAAAAAACTAAATGTAGAATTACTGTTTGATTCAGCAATTCTACCTCTAGGTATGTACACTGAAGAATTAACAGCAGGGACTCAAACAGATATTTGCACACCCCTGTTCATAGCAGCATTATTCACAATAGACAAAATGTCTATCAGCAGATGAATGGATAAACAAATGTGGTATATAGATATACAGAAGGGGAGTATTATTAAGCCTTTAAAAAAATTCTGATACATGCTATAACATAGATGAACCTGAAAAACATTATGCCAGTCAAAAAAGCCAGACATAAAAGGACAAATGCATGATTCTACTTATACAAGGCATCTAGAACAAATACACAGAAAGTAGAACAGAAGTTATTACTGTTTAATGGGTACAGTGTTTCAGTACGAGAGGATGAAAAAGTTCTGCAGGGATGGCTAATGGGTACAAAAATGTAGTTTGACACAACTGAATAAGATCTAGTTGATAGCACAACAGGGTGACTACATAATGTAGGGTGTACATAATGTACAATAATTATTGTACATTTAAAAATAACTAAGAAGAGTATACTTGGACTGTCTGCAACACAAAGAATGATAAATACTTGAGGTGATGGATACTCCAATACCCATTTACCCTGATGTGATTATCATGCATTGTATGCCTGTATCAAAATATCTCATCTACCTCAAAAACATATACATCCACCATGTACCCACAAAAATTTTTTTTAAAAAGTTCTAGCCGGGTGCAGTGGCTCATGCCTGTAATCCTAGCACTTTGGGAGGCCGAGGTGGGTGGATCACAAGGTCAGGAGTTCAAGACCAGCCTGGCCAACATGGTGAAATCCTGTCTCTACTAAAAATATAAAAATTAGCCAGGCGCAGTGGCATGTACCTGTAGTCCCAGCTACTCGGGAGGCTGAGGTGGGGAGAACTGCTAGAACCCAGATGACAGACGTTGCAGTGAGCCCAGATTGCGTCACAACACTCCAGCCTGGGCGACACAGTGAGACTCTGTCTCAAAAAAGAATAAATAAATAAATAAATATAGCATGTCACTGGATACTATAGTCTTATCCACCTTAGCACAGAGATTCATCTTCCATAGAATCTTTGAGGGAAGGAAGACGGAAGTGCTGGTCTCAGATGCAAGGGTGGAGTTGCACACCATCCTTATCCAATTCCACTTCTCACTGGAATCCTTCTTAGCTACTCTTACAGGAGCATAATGGTAGAATCTATGCACCAGCTAAGATAGTTTTCAGTGGATTCAGAGAAAAAATAAAAAAAAAAAAAAAAAAAGCATAGAGACTTTTGGCTAGAAGCTAATTTGAAATAGAGAGAATAGAGCATCTTTGTTAACCATATTCCTTTCATTTCCCTATAAGCCTAGCATGTCACATGTGTAAAAAAAGTATCACAAAATTAAAAATTAAAATTTAAAAAGACATGAATCCTTGAAGTCATTTTCCAATGATACAAGATATAATTATTCAAAGAAAAGTAAAGAAGGCGATCATGCTTTCCTTTACTTGAATAGTTAAAATCAGGTGCTAAAATTTGCCTAAGGAATGTTCACGAATTTTTTTTAAAATTTCAGAACACTATTTCATGAGAATATGCAGTATTATTCCCCTTCAAGACTCTTCTATGTGAAGAAGTACAAGATTATATATGCAAATTAAATTATAGTTTTCATATTTGAAAGTGGTCTCTCCCTTAGAAACAAGCACACAATAACCCAGGGGCCCCCTAGAAACAAGAGTGACAGGCAGTTATCCTAGAGAGTAAAACAGGGAAAACTCCCTGCTGTCCTGTGCTGCCATCACAGAAACAGCATTGCACTATCCCAACTCAGGCTGTTACCGTCTCCTACCTAGAACTAGGAAAAGGCCTGGTTTTCTTACCTCTGATTCTGCTGTGCTACCCACAATCTATCTTGCAAGGCCACATCCAGATTAATCACCCTTAAGTACCACTTTGACTGCACCACTCAGCAGCTCAAAATCCTTCGTAAGAAACTTCTATCTTATTGAATGATGTGAAGTAAAACTCCTTGCCCTGGCACTTAAGGTTTTCCAAAATTTGGCCTAAATATAAATTATATGTTCCAATTTATAACAGAGCTATTTGCTGTACACTAGAAATGGACTGTCTTTTCTGCCTCCATTACCTCTGTCAGGGATAATTCTGATTGTAGATTAAACAGGTATCCATTGAGACTTTACCCAATCAATGTTCTGCAGATTGGGGCATTAGTTTCTCTGCGCCCGGAGCACATAATTTTGTGGTTCACTAATAGAGGGCATGAAAGTCTCTGGATCTGTCAGAAATTATCCATTGAACAGCTGGAATTTGTAAATCCTAAACAAAATCACTATCTAAAACAAAATGGAACAATGACAAAATTTTCGTTTATAATTATTATTACTTGAGACAGTTTGACTTTTTTGCCCAGGCTGGAGTGCAGTGGCATAATCTCAGCTCACTGCAACCTCTGCCCCTGGGGTTCAAGCAATTCTCCTGCCTCAGCCTCCTCAGTAGCTGGGATTATAGGTGCCCACCACCACACCCAGCTAATTTTTGCATTTTTAGTAGAGACGGGGTTTCGTCATGTTGGCCAAGCTGATCTCAAACTCCTGACCTCAGGTGATCCAGATGGATCCTTGGCCTCCCAAAGTGCTAGGATTACACTAGCCACCAGTCCAGCCTTGTTTGCAATTATTTATATAACCTAAGCAAAACTTTTAGGAAATCCTAAAAGAAAATAACATAAAGTTGTCAGTAGATTAAAATATAGCCGACTACTAACATGCAAGAGGTAACAAAGCAGATAGGCATACTGCATGCTGAACAATGGAGAGTGTTTGTCTGGCTTCCTCTTCCTATTAATCTGTTTCTCAGCCAGGTTAAAACATTCTGTTACTTTGTAAATAAACAAAGGCTAATCTCAAGGCCAAATGCACTTCTGCTTAAGGAGAAAAAGAATATGCAAACATTTAATTTAGATTATAAAGTAATAAATGCCTCAGTGTTGCTGGGTGATTTTTGAAATTACAGTGCTGATAGTTTTCTATCATTTACACCAGAGCTTAACAACCTGGTATAGAAGAATGAACATGGGCTTTGAAGCTGGGAACTTGGTTTGTATTTCAACGTGGAGATTCAACATTTATTGGCAACTATTCATTTCAAAAAATTTTTATTTCATTATTTTTATAACTTCAACTTTTATTTTAGATTCAGAGGGTATATGTGCACGTGCAGGTTCATTACCTGGTTACACTATATGATGCTGAAGTTTGGCATACAACTGATCCTGTAACCTGGGGACTGAGCATACTACCCAATAGTTTTTCAACAGATGCCCATTTCCTGACTCTCTCCAAATAATTTTAAGTACTTGAAACTTCTCAGTAAAAACATGGAGTATAACTTTGTTCAAGGAATTAGTGTCAACTAAATCTACTTACATTAAGTTCAATGGCAGAGTATACACTCCTAGCCTCCCGAAGCTCTAAAGTTTTTCTCATGTAGCAACTAAAGTTCATTACGGGAGAGAAGCGCACTTTCAGGGAGTTTTAAAATTTCTTATAACAATTCCAAAGGCCAGGCACAGTGGCTCACACCTGTAATCCCAGCACTTTGGGAGGCTGAGGCAGGTCAATCACCTGAGGTCAGGGGTTTGAGACCAGCGTGATCAACACGGTGAAACCCTGTCTCTACTAAAAATACAAAAATTAGCTCAGTGCAGTAGCTCATGCCCATAATCCCAGCTACTCAGGAGGCTGAGGCAGGAGAATCACTTGAACCCAGGAGGTGGAGGTTGCAGTGAGCCAAGATTACGACACTGCACTCCACCCTAAGGAACAGAATGAGACTGGGTCTTTAAAAAAAAAAAAAAAAACTCAATCAAGGCCAGGTGTGGTGGCTCATGCCTATAATCCAAGCACTTTGGGAGGCCGAGGAGAGCGGATCACTTGAGGTCATGAGTGCAAGACCAGCCTAGCCAACACAACGAAACCCTGTCTCTATTAAAAATACAAAAATTAGCCAGGCGTGGTGATGCACATCTGTAATCCCAGCTACTTGGGAGGCTGAGACAGGAGAATCTCTTGAACCTGGATGGTAGAGGTTGCAGTGAACTGAGATCGCACCACTGTACCCCAGCTTGGACGACACAGCGAGACTCTATCCACGCCCCTCTCCCAAAAGAAAAAACAATTTAAATATTTTTTTCTTAGTTACATTATCTATTTTTCAAAAAAAAAAAAAAAAACCCCCACCCACAAAAAAAAAAAAAAAAAAAAAAAAAAGAAACATCAATCAACACCTCACATTACCCACTTTACAAACAGAAATAATACCCCTCCATCCACCCATCTGTTCATAAACAAATAAAGGAGGGGGCCAAACCAAATCCCTTTCAAGCGCAGACCTGTTCTTTGGGACGCAGGCAGCTCACTGGCAGCAGGCAGTGTACCTGTTGTTCCAGGAGGCAGTGCATAAGCTGAAGATGATGGTGGAGCTCCTGGTCCGCCATGCTGGAAGGATGCTCCAGAGGAAGGGGGAGGAGGAAAAGTAGCAGGGCTGGAGGTAGGTGAAGAGGCCTGGTGTTGTGCTGCGTACAGCTGAGACTGCCCAGAATAGGAGGAAGCAGAAGATATGTAAGGGGTGTTAGGGTAAGCGTTTGAAGTAGGAGGAGCAACAGGCTGCTGAGGTCGATACATTGCTGACCCCCCTGTTCCAAAGGGATACGGCTGGGCTGGTTGATAAGCTACACCAAGGAGAAGAAACAGAAATTTCAATTAGTTACAAGTTTATTCAGATAGTAGCAGAAAACTAAAAAGTTATCTCAGTATATAGAAATGATTTAAATCATTAATAAATTATAATCCCAAATTAAAAATTTATATGGTTCTATTTTTGAGGCTCAGATGTCCCAAATACACTTGAATTCAATAGATTCAGTATCTGAAAAATGCCATCCCTAAACTGCTGCTGGTTATGAAAATATTTGAATCATCAGACCCAAGAACTGTAAGACTGACCCTTTTCTGAGACTTCTGCTGATCCTGTGAAAAGACTACAGTGACCACCAGATGGAACCAGGCAAGAATTACACATTCAAAGCACGCCACTTTACAGAAAAAGTTACATGGAATTTGGTGGCAGCTCCAGACCTTCCTCCCAGTAAGAACTGTACGGTGAACCCTACTGTTATGCATCAAATATATTCTCCAACATCCAGTTAAATCACTAGTTATTGAAATTCTGAGTTTGAACACAGTTCCAGATTAACTGCCAACTCTATGATCCCTAACAAAATAAGTACTATATTTTACATACTGTATATAGTTGGTTAGTAAACAATCAGGCAACCAACTCATGCCTTTTTTTTTTTTTTGAGACACAGTCTCACTCTGTTGCCCAGGCTGGAGTGCAGTGGCACGATGTCACCTCACTGCAACCTCCACCTCCTGAGTTCAAGTGATTCTCCTGCCTCAGCCTCCCAAGTACCTGGGACTACAGATGCATGCTACCACACCCAGCTGATTTTTGTATTTTTAGTAGAGATGGGGTTTCACCATGTTGGTCAGGCTGGTCTCGAACTCCTGACCTTGTGATCCCCTCGCCTTGGCCTCCCAAAGTGCTAGGATTACAGGTGTGAGCCGCCACGCCTGGCCCTTTAATGCAAAGACCTATACCCAGATTAGAGAGTTTTGGTCTTGCTTTTTTTTTTTTTTCTGAGATGGGGTCTTGCTCTGTCACCCAAACTGGAGTGCAATGGTGTGATCACAGCTCACTGTACTCTCAAACTCCTGTGCTCAAGGGATTCTCCTGTCTCAGCCACCTGAGTAGCTCATACTATACGCTATCGGTGCCACAAGGCCCAGCTAATTTTTACATTTTTTTTGGTAGAGATGGGGTCTTCCTTTGTTGCCCTGGCTGGTCTCAAACTCCTCACCTCAAGTAATCCTCCTGTCTCAGCCTCCCAAAGTGCTGGGATTACAGGCATGAGCCATCATGCCTGGTTTAGGGAGATCTAAATGTTAATACCATCACATTCTTCGTGACCAAGGGTAGGTATGAACCTAAATAAAGTGAATCTAGTAAAAGTGTATCTGTTTCCTATCTACTCTGAAGACAGCTCTTTCACATTAAACATTTGAGTGAAAGGCTGTATCAAATTCATATGTATGTTGAATAATGGCATCCATTTTAGCACAGAACACATTCATTAGAGAGGAACACATTTCCCCCTTGAGATTTTTTTGCACTTAAATTTTCAAATAGTGGCAATATTTCACTTTCCAAGTGCAATTATTTTCTTTTAAAGATGCCGCTAATAGATACATGTCATTACACATTTGTTAAAATCCACAGAATGTACAACACTGAGAGTGTGAGCTATGGATTTTGGGTGATAATGAGGCATTAATGTAGGTTCAATTTTAACAACCACACCACTGTGGCGTAGGATGTCAATAGTGGGGCACTCTGTATTTTCTGCTCAGTTTTGTTGTAAACCTAAGACTGCTCTAAATAAATAAATAAAATGAAAAAACAGTTTGTAACAAATGCCCCTTGAAAATATTTTTCCAAAAATAGTTTGTGTCATCTTGCCTGAAGAAAAAGAATATGTATTAAATAATTTCTAAAATTCTATTTCTTTATATCAAAATCATGGGACGCTTGATTCTCTTTAACATGTCTTAGGAACAGGAGTCAACTACTCTGAACAAAGTGACAGAGGAGCTATTTCCTAGCATAGTGATTCAGGCCACCTCCTAGGGAAACCATGCTTCTCTATAACAGGGACTCAGGAATCCTATGCAGAATGGTTCTTACTTTATTGCCAAAATTGATTTGACCATGACTTTGGGGCTTCAAAGTAAAGTTACTACATTAGAAAATAAATAGTGCTCTGAAAGGACATTGGGGTCACACTACTTACGCTGTGGCTGTGGATAAGGTGGTACCTGTGTGTGCATATGACCTGGAGATGTGGGAAGTTGGCTGGCAGCATTTGGATTAACATTTCCATGCATTAGGAAACCTGGAGGTGGAGGATTTTCTCCCTAGGAAACAAGAACATGGTAAAAAGGAGGATTACAAGTGGAATCAGGAACTTCACCAGATGGACTTATAATCTCTAAAATGGAATTCTGTATTAAAAAAAAAAGAAGAAAGAAAGAAACATTGCATTTTGCATATTCTATCTTCCTCAGGACAGCACATTTTCTGAGCAGCACATTTTGAATGATTAAAGATCAGACAGATCCAAGGTAATAATTGCAATAAATGGCAAAAGATGCTAACAGCCTTTAAAAATATTCATGAAATGTCACCAGGATTTTCCATCTCTACTAATTTCCATCCACTACTCCACTCTGTAAATGTAAATATAAATGCCATAAAGGAAATTTTTGTTTCTCTTCAATTTCTGCAATGCTAAAAAAAGGAAAAAGAAAGAAAAATAAAAAAAGTCTTCAGTAAAATCAGATTTAAACCACTGTTAAAACCTTGGTTAGTGTTTTGGTAGTTCAAGTCAATTTAGAACTGCAAAGGAAGGAGAGGAAGAATAAGGAAATTAATTGTGCTAAAAACTACTTCTTGCATCCTAAAAGCATTAAAATGCAATGAGCAGGCAGATGGATGGGGAGTGGGGGTGAAAGAGCTTGAGGAAGGTGGGTAGACAACATATAACTATGTATATTTAGGTGAGCAGAATTCTGCTCAAAGAGGAATAATGAAGGATATACCTGTGTGTCAGAGGGAGAGCCTGCAGGTGGATGGCTGGGAAGGGCAGTAGGAGTTTTGTTACTCCAGGTAGTGACAGTAGGGGCAATTCTAACCTGAATTGAACAAAGAAATACCAATCACAGAAAATAAAAAATGAAAATGTTAAAAGAAATTTAAAAAATAAATAAAACCCGAAAGGTATTAACAGCCAGATGTAAAGCAAAAGGTAAGATTGGCAAGATAACATACATTAGTCAGGCAACTGCTTTCAAGGTAGCTGGAATTCCAAAAAAAAACAAAAGCAACAACAAAAACCACACAATCACAATGAAACAGGGAGAGAAAGGCAGGAGAAAAATCAATATGAAAACCTAAGTCAAAGCACAAAATCAATGCCATTCAAGTGTCAAGTATAAGTAGGGAAAGTGAGGTTTTTTTTAAGTAGAGAAAGAAAAAAGACATTCCAGAAAAAGAAAGTTATTGAGTAAAAAAGTGATTTTTTTTTTTTTTTGGAAGCATTAATAGTATTCATGCTACTATTAATCTACAAACATACTGGTATAAGCTCCCTTTTCTAGATTTTATTACAGCCACAAAAATCATATTAGTCCATTATGAGGCTTAAAAATCATACAATCAGAGTATTAAAGCTAAGTATTAAAGATCATCCAGTATAATTCCCACCCTTTATTGCTTAGAAAACCAAGTCCCAGAGAAGTGAAGGGGCCACACAACTCAATGGTGATGCCAGGGTGCCTGATTTCCAGGCCAGTGTTCTCTACACTATACCGTGTTGCTTGCCCTAGAGGCCATTATTTTTGTTTGTGTTTTTTTTAAGCCATCAAAATCCTTTTTGTCATGTAAATCTTTGCAGAAACTCCAAAACATAAAAAAAAAATTAATACAATTGACCATTGACCAACATGGGTTTCAACTGCATGGGTCCACTTAGATGTAATTTTTTTTTTTTTTTTTTGAGATGGAGTCTCGCTCTGTCACCCAGGCTGGAGTGCAGCGGTATGATCTCGGCTCACTGCAACCTCTGCCTCTCAGGTTCAAGTGATCCTCCTGCCTCGGCCTCCCGAGTAGCTGAGATTACAGGTGCCCATCACCTTGCCCAGCTAATTTTTGTATTTTTAGGAGAGATGGAGTTTCACCATCTTGGCCAGGCTGGTCTTGAACTCCTGACCTCGTGATCCACCCGCCTTGGCCTCCCAAAGTACTGGGATTATAGGCGTGAGCCACCGTGCCCAGCCAGATGTGAATTTTTTCAATGTAGTTACACTGAGTTTGCCTGACTCTCATATCTCCCCTTCTACCTCCTCCACCTTTTCTCCATCTGCCACCCCTGAGACAGCAAGACCAACCCCTCTTCTTCCTCCTCCCCCTCAGCCTACTTAATGTGAAGACAAGAATGAAGACCACTTCCACTTAATGATGAATAGTAAATATATTTTCTCTTCCTTATGATTTTCTTAATAATATTTTTTCTAGCTTACTTCATTGCTAAGAATATGGTATATAATAAATACAACATACAAAATATGTGTTAATGGACTATTCATGTTATCAGCAAGGCTTCCAGTCAACAGCAGGCTAATTTTAGGAGTTAAGTTCTCGGGAGTGAAGTCATGGATTTTCAACTGCATGCAGAGTCAGCACCCCTAACCCACGTGGTTCAAGGGTCAACTGTAAAGGCAAAGTTATGCTGGTCAAAGCAGAAGCGGAACTCCTACCGATCTGTCCTTCCTCTCATCCCTTTGCCCCTGCCTGTTAACACTGCATTAAAATCACACGCCACTGTCCTCATTCATTCAGTGTATCATAAGATTTCATTAAGAAACTCACTGCTTTATGATTCACTTTGTCTTTTCCTGCAAGTATAAGATTGGTAAATCAAAGTATAACAAATCTTTCAATGTTTTTACCTTTTTCCAGAAAAATAAAGCTAAGGACATAAAGAGTAAATATTCTCTTTTCCTAATGAAGAGCTTGCCTTGCTTCAGTACCATGACATGTAGCTTGGTTTAACACAAGATGCTTGGGAGTTCTAATCTCAACTTGGCTGGTAATCAGCCAGGCAGTGCTGCGAAATTCAAGCTCTGTGTCTTCAGCTCTGGTGGGTTGCTTGACATCTCTGCTTCTCAATTTTCCCAGCCATCATCTGCTCTGCCCTACCTATGTCATAGATTTTCTAAGTCTAGTGGCAGGGGGAATTTAGTCTATTTTGTTCATAAATATACCCCCAGCAGCTAGAACAATGCCAGGTACTCATGACAGGGTCTCAACAAATATTTGTCAAATCAATGAACAAAATCAAAATAGAGAGTATTCTAGATAGTTAACAATTATATTCAAATGCAATCTATCCTGATTAAGTACCCATCAAAAACACAACAAAAAGAGCATTAAATTTTTTTGTTCTTCAAGATTTTATATTTACTTTTTCTATAACAAAATGTAAAAAGACTCCATCAATCCTATCAGCAATTTGTTCTACTTTAAAACAGGCAGAGTACCTGCTAACTTTGCTATCGATCAAGACCATTTATTACCAATGAAAAAAATATTCTTCATTTAAGGACATGAAGAGTTATCTCCTGGTCTGGAAATACGGAAGTTTCTATGTGAAATAGTAAAAGATAATAAGAAGCCACATTTTGTAACACAAAACATTTGGTAATTTAAATAAAATTATTGATTCTTTTCACTTTCCATATAATCTACAACTAACTTCAAAAACCTTTGGTCATTCACTTTTCTCTAATATCTAAATTGTCCAAAAACAAAAAAAAGTCTACATTCTGCATACTCTTTATTGTGCAAATACAGAATACACTAAATCTAAACCTGTACTAATGATTAAGAATACTAAGAAAATACTATCTTCTAAAATTATTTTATAAAACAACCAAATCACCAAGATTGTTCCTGCTACTTTACAGCTTGCCAGATGAATCAAACAGAAGTTTCAATAGATGTACATTTGCAAGTAAATTTTGAGAGACAGAGAAATAGAATAAATCTCCCTAGCAAGCTTAAAACCAATTTATATCTAAAATATAATTTGCCTGACCAAGTAAGAGAGATGATTTCAAAACATAGATCATTAATAAAACTTCAAGAATCTAAAAAATATATCTATTTTAACAATATATTGTCTGGTTTTACCATATCAGAGAAGGTCTTTTGCTGAACAAATGAAAACTACCAATTTGAAGAGAAACACAAAAGTGTTCCTACTTCATCTGGACCATATCACTCACATGGGGATAATATTGCTGAGCTTGAACTCTCGGCATCTGGTGGTGGCCAGCAACTGATCCAGGCCTGCCCTTGGGCACCTGCTGTTTCTCATACGGAATTTTAGGTGATTCGTGTCCTGCCATAGGCTCTCCTTGTGCTCTACAAAGTCTGTCACGAAGCTGCATGATATTTGGCTTAAAAAAGGAAAAGAAAAAAAGCAAACTGTTAGAGTTCACCTAGCTATATGACAGCATGTTAATTTTCTTAATCAGATTATTCATCAACATATCCCTTTTTGTTCATAATGCTGGGTATTACACAATAGATCTGACACTCACAGATGTCATAGTTTCTACTACTCAAGACTGGCACCAAAGGTCCATGACATACAGTGCAACTTGTAATTTAACTGAGGCAGGGATCTGAATTATGCCCACCTTATGGTTACTATGCAAGACCAACATCACTTATCAATACTACTCTTTGAAGTTTTCTTGTGGTTACCTAATGCTCATAAATCACAAAACTACTTTAAAAACTGTAACTAAAAAAGGCCACCAAAGAGAATCAACTATTAAAGATGGTTATGGAAGAAAATGGTGATCTAAGAAAGAGATGAAAATGTTAAAAGAGATTTTTGAAATAAAGAGTAAGATGTGAAATTCAGATCTACATGCATAGAGATTTACAAAAGTATGAGGTGACCATATATGTTCTAAGTGTTAACAAATAACAAAAAGGCAATGTGTTAAACGTTTCAGCAAGATCTATCTCTAAAAATTATACATTCCTATACATTTGTTAAAGGTTTAAAGGGATCATTTAAATGTTTTAGGCATATTTTATTTTCCTTTTACGGGGGAGAATTGTATATTATAATGCTATCACGAAGTCTCAGGACATACTCTCCCCCAAAACGCAAGGTCTACCAAGATAAATAGGAAATAACATCAAAAAAATATGCTTTTTTTGGCCTAAAGAATTTTCTTTAAAGAAAAAAAAAAAAAAAAAACGCATGAAGAATAACGTATAGAAAATGGATGTGATTATAAATGGTACGAAAAATGAATTAATCTTAAGCTAGATGAGCTACAGGTCTTAGAGTAAATTAGTCTTAAGATAAAGCTTCATATATATACATATATATATATATATATAGGTATAGGTATAGGTATAGGTATAGATATATATCTTTTTACTTATTAAGTAAAAAGTCTCATAAAACTAGTATGCCAAAGCCACCATAAAGGAAAAGATTATGCATCACCTATTCTACCTAATATTCCCATTGATAATTCAGAAATAAATAAGCCAGATCTTACAGCTAAGTATATACAAAACCAACTAGAGAGTCATACTGCCATAGTCCTGGAGAATATTATGTACTTTTACTCAATGAAATGTATCAATAATCCCCAAAAACAGACAAAATACTGAAAACAACTGACTAAAAAAATACATCAAAAACAGAATAAAGTGATTAGTAAAAAAAGTACAGAGACAAGATAGTATCTGCAAGGCTCAAAATCAAGCTCCATTAGACACAAAATGCAGATATAAATATTCTTGTGGAATAGTGTCCTCAAACCTCACCTGTACTTTCACCCATGCTCCATGACTGGGTTTGGGTTTCCCTCTATTGTGATCCATAGCACCAATACCCTTATCACAGTACTCATATCACATTTTTGGAATCCCATGTTTACTTGTCCATAGCTAACTTGAGTTTGGAGGCTTCCTAGAGAAAGGATCTTGGCAATCTTGTTCACCATTCTATACCCACTTGTTGAACTGAATTGAAAGAAGTATCATTTTGCTCAAGTTTTATTGTGCAATAAATAAAGACAATGTAATTAGTTTCCTCTGCACTGAATATGTAAAAATATACTTGCCCATAGACAGTATCAGATTAAAAGGGCATACAAAATGAACTTCTTCAATACTATCTGGGATGGAACATATGGGATTTCTAAAATGTTAACAACTCCATTTGTTTGATTAAACTTTAACATTTACAGCTTTTTGACATAAAAGATTCCTACGAAGAACTTTATATGAGGAATCAGCATTTGGCTTTAAAAATAAAAAGTGGTCTATTCCCTAATCATTTTCCTAAAATACTATGTCCCTCAGTGCAAAGGAATCTGCCACACTGCAAGAGCATCCTCTCTCTCTGATACAGCTTAGATACACCTAAAATGATCCCTGAAGAATTGTCAATAACATTTACCTACAGTCAGGTTATAGAAATTCAACTGCTCCAAAATATTCCACCTACTAGTATGTTTATATCTAATGCTAAGTGGTGTCTACTAGACTCACCTTACTCAAACATTACAGAAACGGACGATTGTAATTACCTGGTTGGTGTTGTCAGGAAGAAAAGCCAAGGCTGCAGCAATACTGCCCTGAGCTGCCAACAAATTGGCATACTGACTCATCTTCGCAGCCAAGAGAACTCCTACAGTACTAGTGTCTGTGGCTTGAGTGAGTTGCACAGCTTTTCGAAGGACGACAACTTTCTCAATCAGATCCTAAATGAAAACAATGAGAGAGAAACAAACAGAAACATCAAGACTGTAAGAGAGGAAGCAGGAAAAGATCAACAGTTACTAATATTTCTAAAACCCACTCAAAGTACAGTACCTATTATCATTCCTCTTAGAAAAGTACAGCCACTATTTAGGTAAGTGAAAAAGTAGTAAGGAGGAAGAAGGCCTTTTACTCATGGATAGGGCACAGGTTACCACCTTCTCCTAAATATCCTTAAACTACCAGATAATTGTCTAGTGAGCTAAAATAGGCAAATACTCAAAGTGAAAATGATAGGTGGATGTCAGAAGGTAGAAACTCTGTTCTAGCACGTATGGGAGGAGCTACGAATGAAAATATCTGATATGGTTTGGCTGTGTCCCTACCCAAATCTCATCTTGAATTGTAGCTCCCATAATCCTCATGTGTCGTGAGAGAAACCCAGTAGGAGGTAATTGAATCATGGGGCAGGTTTTTCTAGTGCTATTCTCTTGACAGTAAGTCTCATGAGATCTGATGGTTTCATAAAGGGCAGTTTCCCTGCACACGTTCTCTTGCCTGCCACCATGTAAGACATGCCTTTGCTCCTTCCTTCACCTTCCACCAAGCTTGTGAGGCTTCCCCGGCCATGTGGAACTGACTCCATTAAACGTCTTTTTCTTTATAAATTACCCAGTCTTGGGTATTTCTTCATCTCAGTATGAAAACAGACTAATATAATATCATACCATCTATTCTATAAAAATAGTACTATGTACTATAAGGTAACTCATAGACAGAGACACATGATTTCCAAAGGAGTTTACTATTTTAAATCTTAAGTTCTCCTGTTGCCCTTCAATACCAAATCTTTCCACAATGGGGAGCTATGCTTCTGGGAGAAAGCCTAAGAATATCATACCTTTCTGCCTTTCCTAAGTACCTAAATCCAGAGGGGTAAAACAACTGTTTTTCTGCCAGAAGCTCTTAAAAGGAAAACTTTGATTTTCTACCCATTTTTTTGTTTCAATAGTGATCTTTAAAGCAATGATTCTACTGAGAAAATCTCTTTCCAGAAAGAGAAATATTATATGGTAAAATTGTCATAAGACTCTGCTGATTTAAATGCTTAGGAAAAAATATCTAAATACATAGTTAGTGCCTGAGAATGGTCCCCACGTTTTCTACTTCCTCTCTTGCTTGTGTATTGGTGTCACATGGCAGTAGTCCCCAATCTATGTGGCACCAAGGACCGATTTTGTGGAAGACAATCTTTCCACTGGCCGGCAAGGGGGATGGTTTCGGGATAAAACTGTTCCACCTGACCTGTTCCATCAGGTATTAGATTCTGATAAGGAAGATGCAACCTAGATCCCTCATATGCACAGTTCACATCAGGGTTCGTGCTCCCATGAGAATCTAATGCCACCACTGATCTGAAAGGAGATGGAGCTCAGGCAATAATGCTCACTCACCCACCACTCATCTCTGCTATGTTCCTAAGAGACCACAGGCTGGTACCGGTTTATGGCCTGGGGGTTGGGGACCCCTGTTACATGGGATTCCATTTACCTCTCACTTTCATTTTCCCTTAACTATAAAGATTCTCTATTGGTATTGGGGATGCCTCCTATTCCTTTACCCACATTGCTTCTTTCTTTGCTCATGGCAGGCAGAGCCACTGGAAGCAGACAGAGGAGCACACAGAAAAAGAGGTAAACTCTACTGCTGTTTTCAATCCTCCTGCCACCTATTTCCTCCAATAAACTGCCAAATCACAACGATGATCTTACAACAGCTGCAACCCCACTTTCCTATCCCATCTTCTCAAACTTTGCTTCTTCAAGGACAGCAATAAATTTATATAATTATCCAGCAAAAGAAGTTCTTGAATGTATAGAACAAATGAATTTCTAGATTATAACTTGATGATAAGTAGGGTGAAAGACAACACTAAAAAATAAGTCCCTTTTGCTTCAAAGATACTAACCTGAAGAGACAAAGGGTGACTTCCATCTTGAGCTTTAGTCCAACATGCAACTAATTTCTCTACATTCCCTGCACAAATATAGCAGAGACATGCTTGAGTCTGCAGGAGGCTATCTCCTTCATTTTCAAGCCTAGTTCCCAAAAGATCTATAAATAAGAGGAAAATAAAATAAGATTATACCCAAGCAATCTGTATATGATTGCATATGAAGTTGTGAGCAGCTAAACAATATTTTCAGAGGCATGGATTAAGCTTCTTAACCAATGAGTAACACGTAGAAACAAAATCACTCTAAATGCTTAGTAAATATTCATTTGTTAAATGAATGAAAGTGAGCGACAAATTGTATATAATAAATGAGTTTATAAAGCTATTATCTAGCTGTACAACTAATTTTTATTAATTATGTTAGAAAAACAATAAATGGGGCCAGGCGTGGTGGCTCACGCCTGTAATCCCAGCACTTTGTTATGCTGAAGTGGGCAGAACATGAGGTCAGTGAGCCAAGATTGTGCTATTGCACTCCAGCCTGGGCGACAAGAACAAGACTCCATCTCAAAAAAAAAAGAAAGATGTCAACCCATCTGAATTTGATCAAATAAAAAAAGAACAAAGAAAGAAAAAAAGAAAAACAATAAGGAACAATATCTGAACAAAAAAAATCCTAAAGGCACATTTGGAATAGATTTATCAATGGTAGCTAAGTCTAATATAAATTATTTATAAAAATGCAGTTTTGGCTGGGCATGGTAGCTCACGCCTGTAATCCCAACATCTTGGGAGGCCAAGGCAGGCCAAACAGCAGAGGTCAGGCATTCAAGACCAGCCTAGCCAACATGGTGAAACCCTGTCTCTACTAAAAATACAAAATTAGCCGGGCATGGTGGTGTATGCCTATAATCCCAGCCAGTCGGGAGGCTGAGGCAGGAGAATCACTTGAACCCAGGGGGCAGAAGCTGCAGTAAGCCAAGATCGCACCATTGCACTACAGCCTGGGCAACAAAAGCAAAACTCTGTCTCAAAAAAAAAAAAAAAAAAGGCCGCCAGTATCTTATAACTTTTATATTCTTATAAATCTTTCAAGGTAGCAAATGGCTATTTGTTATACTAGTAGCCTTGAGCTTTTCTTGCAAATATTTATTCCTTAGCCACCAGTTTAGTCATGGTCTACAATGGTAATTTCTATTCTAATGCTATCATTGTTAATTTTATCACAGCTAACATTTATTAAATTAGAGCTGTTTATAGTCTATTTTACAGATGAATAAACTGAGGCTTAGAAAGTAATTTTTCCTAGATCATACAGCTACTAAGTAGCTAAGGTAAGATTCCAACTCTAGTCTGTCTGAAACCAAAATCACTAAGGAATTTTTAAAAAATAAATAAATATGAAGTAATATATTTAATAAATCTGAGAAAAGCACTGAAATGAGAACTTCTTTTTCTTTTTTGTGATTCACCGATTTACAAAAGTTTCTAATAAAATTTGTCATTTAAGTTTATTTACAATATATCCTGCCATGTATGTAATGCAGTTAAATATAAAACACATTTCTTACCACAAAGGGCTGAAAATTCATCCGGCTTTGCATAAGTCAATACTGCAGCTAAAGCCTCTCTCCAATTTTTAAGATCACAAGACTCAACAATCTCTTTCCAGTTCTTCATCACCACTGCAGTGATGAGCTTGAGAAAGGAAAACAAAAGAAGAATTAAATGCCTTAACACAGCAATAAAAATTAATTCTGGCTAATTAATCATGTCAAGTATTTCATGCCAAATACAGCAGCAAAATGAAATATATTTTTTAATCAAATGACATAATAATGGTATTATTGTTCCTCAAGAAACAACAGCAACAACAAAAACAACTGACAACATATTTCATAAAGTGCTGAGAAGAAAAAATATAAGATGCTATCAGAACCTTTAATAGGAAGGTGTGACCTGGTCAGATGGATCAGGAAAAACGGCCCAAGCATGTGGATTTTTGACAAGTGATCTCTGAAGGACAAGCAGGAAATAACTTCATCAAGAAGAAAAAAGCCTTCCAGGCCAAGGGAACAACAGATGCAAAGTTCCAGTGAGAAAGGAACATGCAATGAGTGAGAGAGGAACTAAAAGGCAGCCACTGTGGCTAAAAAATAACAGAGGAGAGAGTGACATGAGATGAGGTTGGTGGGACTCAATACTGGTACAACTTTTATGAAAACTAACTTCCATAAAAATTACTTTATAACATAGAAATAACATCAAGTAGCCACAAAAAAGAATGAGATCATGTCCTCTGCAGGGACATGGATGGAGCTGGAGGCCATTATCCTTAGCAAACTAACACAGGAAAAACCAAATACTATATATTCTCACTTATAAGTAGGAGCTAAATGATGAGAACATGTGAACACATGGAGGGGAACAACACGTGTCGGGCCTACTGGAGGGTGGGAGGAGAGAGAGAATCAGAAAAAATAATTACAGGGTCCCAGGCTTAATACCTGGGTGATGAAATAATCTGTACAACAAACCCCCATGACACAAGTTTACTCATAAGTTTGTTAGATATAACAAACCTGCACATGTACCTCTGAACTTAAAAGTTAAAAAAAAATTGGGACACTTTGTGCCAGAAATTCCTCTTCTAGGACTACAGTCCAACTTAAATCAGAAAATGTACAAATCTTAGGGCACACCAAAGGTGTTGAACACTATATAAACAAGAGGTTTATTTCTATTAGGAAAATATTGGAAACTACCTAAACATACCAAAATAAGGGAAACATTATATCTTCTCACCATGAAATATTATAGAGCAAATAAAAAATTTAATAAGGCCAGGTGCAGTGGCTCACATCTGTAATCCCAACACTTTGGAAAGCTGAGGTGGGTGGATCATCTGAGGTCAGGAGTTCCACACCAGCTTGGCCAATATGGTGAAACCCCATCTCTACTAAAAACACAAAAATTAGCTGGGCATGGTGGTGGGTGCCTGTAATCCTAGCAACTTAGGAAGCTGAGGCACAAGAATCACTTGAACCCAGGAGGCAAAGGTTACCGTGAGCCAAGATCACGACACTGCACTCCAGCCTGGGCAATACAGCAAGACTCCATCTCAAAAAAGAAAAAAGAATTTTTTAATAAAAATCTTTAATGATGTAAAAAACTACTTACAATGTAATTGACAGTATCAATAAACAAAACCACACACACACACACACACACACACACACACACACACACACAAAGTATGATCCTGAATCTGTTAAAAAAAATTCTACAAATACACAGATAAGATGTATAGAAAGATATGCATCAATGTATTGACAGAATTAGGGGGTGTTGAAATTTTTACCATTAAAATTTTCTATGTAAAGCCTTTCTGAAATAACCGAAATATTTTTAATCCTTTTTTTTCCCCCTGAGACAGAATCTTGCTCTGTCACCCAGGCTGCAGTACAGTAGTATAATCTCACTGCAACCTCCACCTTCTGGGTTCAAGCAATTCTTCTGCCTCGGCCTCCGAGTAGCTGGGATTACAGGCGTCTGCCACCACATCTGGCTAATTTTTGTATTTTTACTAGAAATTTGAGGTCCAGGATAACCTCAAATTTCACCATTAGCCAAACTGGTCTCAAACTCTTGTTCTTGTGATCCACCTGCCTCAGCCTCCCAAAGTGCTGGAATTACAGGCATGAACCACCGCACCCAGCCTTTTTTAGGTTTTTCTTTTTTTTTTTAGTAGAGACAGGGTTTCACCACATTGGCCAGGATTGTCTCAAACTCCTGACCTTATGATCCACCTGCCTGGATCTCCCAAAGTGCTGGGATGCCCAACGCACCCAGGCT